GGTTCAGAGAGAATCCCAAGCAGGCTCCGTGCTGTCGGCGAAGATCTCATGAATCCTGGGATCACAAACTGTGTCAAAACCAAGAGTCAGATGCTTAATTGACTGAGCCACCCGGGTGCCTCTGGAGTAAAAAAATTTTTTTTGTTTATTTTTTTAAATATTTCTTTGAGAGAAAGAGAGAGTGTGCGTGCATGACCAGGGGAGGAGCAGGGAGAAAGGAAGAGAGAATCCCAAGCAGGCTCCACACTGTCCATGCAGAGCCCAATGAGGTGCTCAGTCCACCAACTGTGAGATCATGACCTGAGCCAAACTAAAGAATCTGACGCTAAACAGATTGAGCCACTCCTGAAGTGAACATTTTATTTTTTTTTTAATTTTTTTTAATGTTTATTTATTTTTGAGACAGAGACAGAGCATGAATGGGGGAGGGTCAGAGAGAGAGAGAGACACAGAATCTGAAGCAGGCTCCAGGCTCTGAGCTGTGAGTACAGAGCCCGACGCGGGGCTCGAACTCACGGACCGGACCGTGAGATCATGACCTGAGCCGAAGTCAGACGCTCAACCGACTGAGCCACCCAGGCGCCCCTGAAGTGAACATTTTATTTATTTATTTATTTTTATTTTATTTATTTTTTTAACGTTTATTTATTTTTTGGGGACAGAGAGAGACAGAGCATGAACGGGGGAGGGGCAGAGAGAGAGGGAGACACAGAATCAGAAACAGGCTCCAGGCTCTGAGCCATCAGCCCAGAGCCCGACGCGGGGCTCGAACTCACGGACCGCGAGATCGTGACCTGGCTGAAGTCGGACGCTTAACCGACTGCGCCACCCAGGCGCCCCATGAAGTGAACATTTTAAAATCAGATATTTTACTCTACAAATCCATTCAGCAGCTCTCTCTCCGTTTCACTCGCTGACTGCAGCATCCACAAGATCTGCCTTGCTCATCCCTTTGACTTTGTGAACTCCTCCCCTCTTCTCTTTCTTGCATCTTTCACCCTGCTCCAGCCACACAGGCCTTGCCACTGCAGGGCCTTTCCACTGGGATCTTTCCCTTTGCTCAAGCATCAGTTTCTCTTATTTAAAATTGTCACCATCCTCATAGTCTCCCACCCTGCTGTACTCTAATCCTTCACCCTGCTGCATTTTTTCCATGGTGCTTCTACCATAGTAACATGCTGGATACTTATTTGTGTCTCCATGTTACAATGGAAGCCCCCTGAGGCTTTTTGTCTAGTTTGGGTAGCCTTTGGTTAATAGAAAGTGTGCAGTAAATCTATTGAATTAATCAATGAGAATCCCTGTATGTCACAAAAAGATACAGTAAAAATAAGGAATAATCAGGTTTTTAAAAATGAGCACCAAGTCTACCCATCACTTAATTCATACCTTTTTTGACACCTTTTCTGTAGTGTGTGTGTGTAGGTGCATGGCATGTCATACTCTGGGAGGAGGCTGGGGGAGAGCATATTGAGAATTAGAGACATGTGCCCTTTACTTTTCCAGTCTCAACTGCCTCAAACTGGCATAATAATTGGGTCAAAAAGCTTTTGTGGGAATGAAATGAGCTAAGAGGCAGCAGCTCCCTTCATATAACCTGACAGGTATTCATTCTCATGGAGGCCAGGGCCTGCCTTTCCATCTATGCAGGAATGGTGCTCTGCATCTACCCGATGTGTTACCTTCTGGGGTGAATGATGTTCGTAGATAGGCTACTTCTGGATATTTGGTGGGCAGTCTGGATGCAGATACTCCACAGACCATTCCTTGGGGCTATAGCCAGGTTCTTGGGGCCCAGGTGGGAAGGGGGATCGACAACTGGTGTGTTTATGTTCTTACATGTCCTCTTCCTTTATGAATGCAGTCCCAGGACATCAAAGCTCTGCAGAAAGACCTGGAACAATTTGCCAAACTCCTGAAGCAGAAGAGGATCACCCTGGGATATACTCAGGCCGATGTGGGGCTCACCCTGGGGGTTCTCTTTGGTGGGTCTCCCTCAGCCTGTCCTGACACAGAACACAGGGACCACATCTCCCCTGGAAGAACATGCCTGAACTTGGGGCTTTTCTTCCTACCAGGGAAGCAAAGGAAGGGTATTTCAGGAGCGGACTCTATCCCCACACATGAAGAGGGTAGAGAGGAAGGGGGAAAAAGTACCTGGACCTTGAATTTCCTCTGGGAAGAAGTGTGACCCTGGTGTGGGATCTCGGGAAGGCAGGAAAAGGTGGGGAGGCCCTGGGTCTTGGGGTCACACAGGTACTGCCTTCTGCCTCACCTTGCTTCTCTTTCCACTGGCTTCCCCAGGGAAGGTGTTCAGCCAAACAACCATCTGCCGTTTTGAGGCTTTGCAGCTCAGTTTCAAGAACATGTGTAAGCTGCGACCCCTGCTGCAGAAGTGGGTGGAGGAAGCTGACAACAACGAAAATCTGCAGGAGGTGAGGGGGGCAGGGATGCTCAGGGGTCTGCTGAGCCTTATCCTGGTTTTCAATGCTTCCACCCATGGCTTCCAGCTCTCCTTCCTGGGGCAATGGTCCTCAGTGGGATGGAGTGGAATTCCTCAGTTCTGGAAGGAGGTCCAGAGTCATCCGTCTAAACCCACCCTTCCAGGATTCTCTCCATACCATCTGCTACAGGTGACCCGTCCAGGCACTGCCCCCTTAGCAATTTGCTCTTGAGTCACTGACTTCCTGGTGCTCTGCAGGCTCAAAGTCTGCCATTCCACCTTCCTCCTTTGTCACTCTCTCTCCACCTCACCAGATATGCAAAGCAGAGACACTTGTGCAGGCCCGAAAGAGAAAGCGAACAAGTATCGAGAACCGAGTGAGAGGCAACCTGGAGAACATGTTCCTGCAGTGCCCGAAACCCACCCTGCAGCAGATCAGCCACATTGCCCAGCAGCTTGGGCTGGAGAAGGATGTGAGTGCCCAGTCCTTATGTGCTCCATCTCCTCCCCAGTCACCACCTCCCTTTCCCTGGCTCTGGCTCTTCAAACCACTCTAGATCTGTTGGCTTTGCGCCAAATGACTAAGCAAAGCTAGCCCCACCTCCTGGAGTTCATGATTGATTGTCACTCTACCTTGTATCTTTCATCCCAGGTGGTCCGAGTGTGGTTCTGCAATCGTCGCCAGAAGGGCAAACGATCAAGCAGTGACTATTCGCAACGAGAGGATTTTGAGGCTGCTGGGTCCCCTTTCTCAGGGGCACCAGTATCCTTTCCTCTGGCACCAGGGCCCCATTTTGGTACCCCAGGCTATGGAAGCCCTCACTTCACTACACTGTACTCCTCAGTCCCTTTCCCTGAGGGTGAAGCCTTTCCCTCTGTGTCTGTTACCACTCTGGGCTCTCCCATGCATTCAAACTGAGGTGCCAACCTTTCCCAGGAATGGGGTCCAGAGGAAGGGGGAGAGCTAGGGAAAGAGAACCTGGGGTTTGTACCAGGGCTTTGGGATTAAGTTCTTCATTTCACTAAGAAAGGATTTGGGAACACAAAGGGTGTGGGGGCAGGGAGTTTGGGGGGGTACTGGTTGGAGGGAAGGTGAAGTTCAAGGATGCTCTTGTTTTTAATCCCCACATCACTCATCACTTTCTTAAATAAAGAAGCCTGGGACACAGTAGGTGGATACTTTTGTCTTTGGTTTGTCCTCCTTTGATTAGAAGAGGAGCTGGGGATACCCAATAGTTAGGTATTAGCTCTCCGACCCCAATGACCCTGAAACCAAGGTTCCATTTAAACTGCTCAGTCACACAATATCCGTGGGAAAGCCAGTACTGGAATCCATTTATTTGTAGAAAGTCCCTATAGGTATGAACTAGTTCTTCAGAGCCTGTGACTTGGAGTCCTGGGGAAATTTCAGTGGAATACCTTATTTTTATAGCCCATTCCCTATTAGGAGCTGACTTTTTTTTTTTTTTTTTTTTTTTTGCTTTTTTGCTTTCCCCACTTTCTACTCTGGAAGTATCCTTAGTGACGTTACACCAAGGAATTATCTTTAAATATTTTCTTTCTGTATATTGCCCCAGGTAGAAACTCCCTCATGTGCTTTGTTGATACCAAAGTCCATTTGGTTTCCACTTAAGATTTTGGCGTACTTTGTCCATGAGTGACTCCCCAAATCCCCATGTTTTTGTCCTGGCTCTGCCATTACTTAATTGGGGTAATTGGGGCCCTTGCTTGGAGCTGTTTCCTTCATGTTAAAACAAAAACAAAAACAAAAACAAAATTAAAAAAAAAATAAACCTTGGGTTGGTAAATCTCAGGGATAGAAAGGAATGGACATAGGGGCGCCTGGGTGGCGCAGTCGGTTGAGCGTCCGACTTCAGCCAGGTCACGATCTCGCGGTCCGTGAGTTCGAGCCCCGCGTCAGGCTCTGGGCTGATGGCTCAGAGCCTGGAGCCTGTTTCCGATTCTGTGTCTCCCTCTCTCTCTGCCCCTCCCCCGTTCATGCTCCGTCTCTCTCTGTCCGAAAAATAAATAAATGTTGAAAAAAAAAATTAAAAAAAAAAAAAAAAAAAGAAAGGAATGGACATAAAAGATTGCAATAGGTCAAGATGGGACTTTCCTAATAAGAGCTACAGAAACCCCATTTTGACAGTATCTTGGCTTGGTGTAAGGCTCATGAAAGGGAATCTGTTTATTATACTATACGTGGGTTAAGCTGATCTACACTGGATCAGGTCAGCATTCACTCAAGCTGGTGTACCAGGTTTTCTCTTTTCCATGGTCATACTTGTGAAACTTGGAAAGGTTCTGCCATCATGAACTTGACCAAACCATCCACCTTATTTTAATGGCAGTGGATCTGTTTTCCTTTAATCTAAAAACCTTAATTACCTTTTTTCTAGTCTCCCACCTCTAGCCCATTCCGTATCAAGTGAGCAGGTTCATATTTCTCTGCTTTATCTACTCATCTCTCTTCTAAGAGCCTGAATTAGTTTTTCAGACCATATCATTCTCAAGAACTGGAAAGCAAGGAGTATCAGACCTGCAAAAAGAATAGGTATCTAAGAGTGAATGAAGCTAATTCTTTATTTGGAAATAGAAGCAAAGCTCTGAAAAGCCAGGTAATGATCATGGTCAGTGGCAATGGTTTACCCACAATGTAAAAGTTTTGGGGCTGTGCCCTAGGTTTTCCCAGGATGCCTTATAATGCCATCCCAAAACATTAAGCATTCACTCATTCCAAGTCTGAGGCTTTTATCTGCTCAGGCATGGCATCTGCAATTGATGGGTACTCTGACCACAGACATTCTAGTGCCTATGATAACAAGAACCTATAGCTTGTAACGGAATTTCCAGCTTGCTGGCAACTTCCCGGAGGCAACAAAGATCTTTGGCAGGAAACCATCTCTTCTGTCCCCTTGGCCATGAGGGCCGGCTTCAGGCCTTGACTCCATATCCATAGCAATGGGCACTTCCCCTATAGCTATTCCCTCCTGGGGAGGCAAGGAAAGAAGGGGACATTTTTTAAGACCCATTGGTGCCCCACTGTGTCCACCCAAGGCCTGGAGGTACCAGCTCTCTGTCCTCTTGGTGCCTTGTTGGTGGGCCTTAGGTCTGGATGCCTACACGGCACTCTGGGCACCGGAAGTCAGCCTCCCTAGCAGCCTGGATGCTGCAGCCAACACAGGCCACATGGAACCAGACATCACAACCATCACACTGAACCCAGGCAACTGTTTCTTCTTCAGGCAGGCAGCAACAAGGGGCTGCACAGGGCTCTCCACCCCCAACTGCTGGGGGAGCCCTGGGCGTGTTCACTGGGTGCTTCCGAGGACGTCCACGTCGATTTCTGAACAAAGTGACACAAAAGCCAGGGTCACTGGAAACCTGTAGAAGCCTAGAACTTGCCCCTGGATGATCACAATGAATTTACACTAACAGTGAACTTGAATAGTAGAGCTGACTCAGGTCCTGCTGTTCAACATCTGTCTCATCTCTGTTCACCTCCCATCCCCATCCCCAATCCTATGCCCAGAGCAGAGGGCCACCTCCCAGCCTGGGGGTCTAAAAAGGAACTAAAGGGAGTTTACAAATTGAGAAAGATCTCTCCACTTACCCACCAGGTGTCCGTGGGGGTGTCTCGACACGGAGCTTCTTCCTGGGCTCTATAAAGACCGATGGGGAGCCCTCGGGCATCTCTCCCTCATCATCCAACTCTGCCAACACTCGATGAGCCGATTTCCTCCGATTTCTTGGGGGTGGGGCAGAAGGGGTGGCCCCCACCTCTCTAGGGGGAGTGGGAACAGGCACGTTCTGTTGCCCACCCCCAGTCCGGGAGAAGGTGAGGGGCTGGGGCCTGAGCTTGCTAAGGCTGCCGATGGAATTGAGGATCAGTGTGGCTTTTGGGGCAGGGGAAAGGGTGCTGAGAGGGCGCTGTGGGGCCCCCTGTGGGGGCAGCATAGGCCGGAAACAAGCTCTGGTTCCCTCTTCGCCACTAGACCGCGGGATGGTAATGGCTGCAAAATCTTGAGGTTTGACTCGGACTTGCTGAAACATGAAGTAGAACTCCGAAGGGCTGGTTCCTGGGGACCCTTCAGGGCCAAAGGTCACAAGGTCCCCATCACTCAACTCCAGTCTGTGACCCCTTGGGAGTCGGATATTATTGACCAAAGTCCCTGTTGATGGAGGGCACCAGACAGATACAGAGAATGACAAAAACAGAAATGACCAGAGTCAGGACTGGAGAAATCTGGCCTCCTTTGGTTTTTTGGGGAACATGAGGGAGAACATGACATCTGTCATCAAATTCTCACATTTGAAGTCCCTCAGCAGGTGACATCAGATATTAAGCTCCTTGTGAGTGGAGGACAAGTTTATTTTACTTATGCCCTCTCGCAGGGCACATGGAGGAAATGGACTCCTTCCTTCACTCTGCTGAGGTCCCACTGGAGTCCCATTCTCAGACATACTGTCACCCCAGCTCCAACACAAAAATAGTTATTGGCATACCTCAGACTATCTGGGTTGAGATCTTGGCTCCACCCTTCCCAGCTATGTTACCTGGACAAGTTAACCTCTTTATGCCTCATTTTCCTTGTCTGTAAAATGGGGATGATATTAGTGCTCACCTATATTTAATGCACCTGAATAGTGCCTGGCTCATACAGTAAGCACTAAGTAAATGTTGGCTACTACAGTTATCTAATCTCCGCAACACTCCTACAACAGACCTTACTTACAAAGCCTTACATTTTACCTACGAGGAAACTGAGACCCAGAGAGGTAAAGTGACAGGCCTGAGTTTTCACCAGGGGACAGTGGCAAAACCCAGGCCTCTTGAGGCTGACTGCATACAATTGCCTGCAAGTCAGGGAGTAAGACATATGCTCTGCTCACTAAAACATAATTCAACATATCATAACTGCCTTAAGACAAGAACAAGGTGTCTCAGCCAATTTAGAAACTGAGTCAAGTCTGAGCTTGGCCCCCAATGGTCCCAGAACATTCCCACTGTGATACTTCCCTAATGATGGCCCAGGCCCTGGATCTATCCAGCCCCTGTTTGTATATATATATATTTTTTTCAACGTTTATTTATTTGGGACAGAGAGAGACAGAGCATGAACGGGGAAGGGGCAGAGAGAGAGGGAGACACAGAATCGGAAACAGGCTCCAGGCTCTGAGCCATCAGCCCAGAGCCTGACGCGGGGCTCGAACTCCCGGACCGCGAGATCGTGACCTGGCTGAAGTCGGACGCTCAACTGACTGCGCCACCCAGGCGCCCCTATCCAGCCCCTGTTTGGATGGTTCCAGCTAGGCAGGGACCATCGAGGGCCAACACTGCAGAGAGATTCTGACATTGCACACCTTTAGTGGGAAGACACAGGTCTGGACTACAACTGTCCATCCAACCTGATAGGGAGTTTGGGAGGCAGGCAGGGTCACTGTGGAGCCCCTTAATCATTCCAGCCCAGAACTGCAACTGCCCAGGAGCAAGACTGCCCGCTCACTGCTCACCTTGGCTGCTGTGGTCTTCCAGGCTGACCTTCCAATCATCACCCCGGCGCTCTGCATGCAGCTCCGCATGGACTCCAGAGATGAGGCCAGGCTCCTGCTGGGGCTGCAGGGCCACATCACACAGATCGGCCCTACAACCCAAGCGATAGGTGCAGCCAGCCCCGCTAGGGGGGTGGAAGGTGTAGAGATCACCACCCCTGCCGCCCCCTATGCGCAGCAGCTGGAAGCAGGGCAGCATGGGCGGTGCCCCCCCCTGCACCACCTCTTCCACTTCAGGAGTCCATCACCTTTCCCACTCCTGAGCCATGCACGGTGGCCTAAGTTCTGGGCTGGTGGCTTACTTTCTGTCTGATGCAAATTTGAGCTGTGCTTTGTGCAACTCTGAGCACAGGCCTGAGTTTTCACCAGGGGTCTGTGGCAAAACTCAGAAGAGAACCCAGACCGGCATAGTGCAAATTCAGAGTGCAAGGAGCCTAGGCATGCGATGCAAACAAAATTGTCTGGCAAGCAGTTTTGCAACTGAAAATTTCAGGGAAGGTCCCAGTGCAACGCAAAAACGAACACGTCCTATGGCACTTTAGTTGAACCGGATCTTCAGGCCACAGAATATTCGGGGAGACTCAATCTGTGCAAGGCAACAATACATTAGGCAACTTCCAGAAAAATGCAAACTGTAGATGTGTGTATAGGGATTCCTGCTTCTGTACAATACTAACTTGTCACCTCAGTGTTCTTTGGAGAAAGGAAGCTTTTTCTTGTCAGACTTATCCAAAGAGAGTAACCCTTCTGCTCGCCCGCACCTCGCTCTTCAGGCCAATCCTCGCTCTACCTGGTTATCTTGAACCCCAGTGGGAAGTGAATCCACTGTCGTCCCCCAAAAGGCAGTGAAAAGGGTCCCTACGTTCTCTAACAAAGCAGATCTAAACCTTGGAGGCTTCCCAGCTTCTCCGGCTGGGATAAAAACAGGGGAAAGAGCTCCCCGAGATCATGCAAGGCAAATCCAGCCTTTTCCCTCCCCTGCCCAGCCCAGTTTCCGATCTACCGCGGTGCAGTCTCCAAGTAGTCTCCTCTCCAGGCAGTGCCAGACTGTGCGGCGACCCCGAACCCCTCCGGCTCGGGCCCGGAGCTGGCGCTACCGCCGCTGTTTGACAGCGAGGAAGCCGGGGTCGAGAGGGGCGCGGTCTTCGCGCGCGGGCAGCACCCGCCTAGCCTTCGGAATTCCCGGGTCTGAACTCCGCGCCGAGCGAACCCGCCCCCCGTGCCACTCCTGATTGGCCAGCTCATTTGTCCTCTTCCCCTCCATTGGGCGGCGTGCTGGGAGTGTCCCTGATCTCCCGCCTTCCGCTTTTTCTGATTAGTTCACAAATTTTCCCGGGTTCCCGGAGTTGGGAGGAGCCGCCAGGGCGCGGAGACATCCCCCAACGCTTTAATTGTGTCCGGCTTTAGACAGTACTGCGCCTGCGCGCATCTCTTTCTCTCCTCCTTCCTGGGTGAAACCGGATTTTAGAGCCGCCCGCCAAGCATCCCGCTTTGCGCAGGCGCAGTCAGAGGCGGAGGCCGCGCCCAGGAGCGAGGTGTAGGGGGTGTGGCTAAAGGGCAGAGGAGGCTCTCGCGCTGGGTAAGGGACTTTCGGGAAGTGTCAGTTGGGGGCGGGAGGGGGGTCGAGAGGGGGTACGGGGGTGGGTTCAGGGGTCTACAGGGGAAGAGGGGTCCAGGGACCAGGTAAAGGAACAGATGAGGTGGCCCGAATGGCCTTAGAGTTCAGGGTCCAGGAGGGTAGACTCGGGTATCTGTAGGAGAGGCGGGGGAGGGGGGGGAGATGGGGTGGAGCGAGAACTGAGAACCTACTAGAGTGCAGGGAAGCAATTGGGAGATGAGGGGGGAGTAAGGGATCGGAATAATTCCTTCAGGAAAAAATCCGATTAGGCTGTAGCGAGGGTGATAGGAATCCCAGATTGGGAGAAAATAGGTGAATTCTGGTGGGAGGGTGGGGAGACCTTGAAGAGACCTCTCTTGTGCTCTAGGACTCTGGAAAGAGGAGGGTAGGCGGCAGGAATGGCTGCAAAGGGCATAGTAGAGAGAAACTAAGGAACGTTGATAGAAGGGTTTGGGTGTGATGTCAGGAAGCTGGTTTTTCTGCCAAGGGATCTAGGCTGTCTGGATTCCCAGGGGACCTGGAGAGTGTCCTGCCCTACACGTGGTCACATTCATCTGGGGCCAGGCCTTGGGCCAGTGCTGTAATAGGGAAGGACCGGGCGTCATGGCTTGGTGGTGTCTGGATGGGCTTCCTGAAGGCCTTGCTGAGCCATGGAGAGAACTCTGGAGATTGGGCTCACAGCCCCTGCACTGCATACCTCCTTCCTCACCTCCGACCAGGAACAGCAGAGACTGTAGGAACTTAAGGAGGAGGGTAAAGGCTCTGCCCAGAATTCTAAGAGTATGAGTAAAGACTAAGAGCTCTTTCTCAACCTGTCTCAGTTAATTCCCTCTACCTGATGGTTATTGCCATAGTTCTATCAGGAGCCAGGTTGGGTCAAGCAAGTGATCTTTGGGTATTTCCTACTTGGGAAGTTACTAAAGGATTATGATTTTGTTATTGTAGGGCTTTCTCTTTGGAAGGTGGCCTGAAAATTGATCTGGGGTGTCCTTGTTTCTACTGTTGTCCAGGAAAACATAGATGACTGGACACAGAATCTAGAGACTTCAAGTGATGTGGAGATGTTTCGACCTTCAGGTCAGTGGGACCAGGCAAGGGGACTGATGATTGTCTCTCCCTCGGAAACTGACCATTTTTGTCATTGTGTGTGATTCCTCAGGTTCCACTGGGCTGATTCCCCCATCCCACTTCCAAGCTCGTCCCCTTCCAACTCTATCAAGAATGGCTCCCACCTGGGTCTCAGACATTCCCCTGGTCCAACCCCCAGCCCATCAAGATGTCTCAGAGAGGCGGCCAGACCAGAGACCTCAAATGATAATGTGGGAACAGGATGTTTCTGGCAATGTGCAGGAGCCAGGGCGGAGAGGCAGGTAGGGATTCATTGTTGCTCTTTCCTTGGGTTTTCTTGCCAGTGAGCTGCCTTTTTTTTTTTTTTTTTTAATGTTTATTTTTGAGAGAGAGAGAGAGAGAGAGCGAGAGAGCAAGCACAAGCGGGGGAGGGGCAGAGAGAGAGGGAGACAGAATCCGAAGCAGGCTCCAGGCTCTGAGAGGTCAGCACGAGCCCAACGTGGGACTCCAGCTCATGAACCTGAGCCAAAGTTGGATGTTCAACCTCCTAAGCCACCCAGGCGCCCCTCTGCTGACCCTTCTTCACTGAAATAGATTCCTTACCCTGTTGCAGCCCTTAGTTCCATAATTTGTGCATTTTTGTATAAGCAGTTACTGGAGCTTATAATGCATAAATAACAACGCAATGTGCTGGATGGGGATAGCAAAAATGAATGAGATACTGATATCAATGAACTAAAAATCCTAAGGGAAGAGGTAGATTGACCAACAACCGACGGTAGGTAATAAGCATAATATGAGGCAAGACAAAGAAGTGCAAAGTAGGAGTATAGATAGACTGTACTACGGTAGTATGCATTTATTCTGATGGAGTGCTTGCCATTAGAGCCGGACATGCTATTTGTCGATGTTATGTCTGTAAAAATTCTGATTCTTGTTCTTGATGTTTCATGTGTGTCTTTTCCCAAATGTACTGGAATGTCATTCTGCCATTTTGCTCTGGAGTGGGATTGCAGGTGGGTCCACCTTGGACCCTGTCCAAGAGGAAGGAGCATGATGACAAAAGAGGAACACTGGAGTGGGGGTCAGGAGACAGGGACTGCTGCTAGTTTGGCTACCAACTAGGGTCCTTTGGCCAGTCACTTAATGTCTCTAGGCTATAGATCCCTGCCAGTTTGTTTGTTTGTTTATTTGTTTTTAATGTTTATTGATTTTTGAGAGAGAGAGAGGAATGTGTGTGCAAGCTAGAGAGGGGCAGAGAGAGAGGGAGACAGAAAATCCAAAGCAGACTCTGCGTTGTCAGTGCAAAGCCCAACATGGGGCTTGAATCCACAAACCATGAGATCATGACCTGAGCTGCAGTCGGACACTCAACCGACTGAACCACTCAGGTGCCCCGATCCCCGTCATTTTGAAAGTAAAATCCTGTGGTTCTGGGCCTCAGTGAAGGAGTTGCATCAAGAGCCATGTTAACATAAGCTGGTTTAAACTTTACAAGATACCAGTAGACTATGTAATTTATCGATGTGCTATCAACTCCTCATATGGTATATCTAACGCTCAATAAATGCTTTTAAAATTTTTTTTTTCAACGTTTATTTATTTTTGGGACAGGGAGAGACAGAGCATGAATGGGGGAGGCTCAGAGAGAGAGGGAGACAGAGAATCGGAAACAGGCTCCAGGCTCTGAGCCATCAGCCCAGAGCCTGACGCGGGGCTCGAACTCCCGGACCGCGAGATCGTGACCTGGCTGAAGTCGGACGCTTAACCGACTGCGCCACCCAGGCGCCCCTCAATAAATGCTTTTAACTAATGCCTGGTCTCACTCTATTGATACTGGAAGCCATGACCTCTCTTCCTCTGAAACTTCCTCAAACTTTTCCTTGCCCTTAAATCAGAATTCAGAAATCTCTGGGTGTCTTCCAGCCTCTCCATTTCAAAATGTGTGGCCTGATGATGTGTGCATTTGATGTTTAATGCATCTGCCTGTACATAGCTCTCTCAACAGAGGTCATATTCCATGATCTCAGCTAGCCTTTAGGTCCTGTGAGCCCTGATAGTGGACCTAATCTGCTTAGTAGGGGCATGATAAATGACAACAGTGATGGAAGTGCAGATATCCCCATGGCCCAACTTCATCCCCCTCATCTCCACACACAGGGCAGAGGGACCCTCTACTGTCTCCGTTTGTCCCCTTGGCCACCCTCCCAGCACCAGAGACAGGTCTCACTTGTGCTAACCTGTCTTTGAAGGTCTGTGGAGCTAGAGGGGTCACAGGCCTTGAGCCAGCAGGCTGAGCTGATCTCTCGGCAGCTGCGAGAGCTGCGGCGACTTGAGGAGGAGGTCCGGGTCCTGCGGGAGACTTCGTTGCAGCAGAAGATGAGGCTGGAGGCCCAGGCCATGGAGCTGGAGGCTCTGGCTCGGGCGGAGAAGGCTGGCCGAGCTGAGGCTGAGGGCCTGCGTGCTGCCTTGGCTGGGGCTGAGGTTGTCCGGAAGAACCTGGAAGAGGGGAGCCAGCGGGACCTGGAGGAGGTTAAGAGGCTGCACCAAGAGCAGGTGAATGTGGGGATGAGAAGAGTTCAGCTTCACAATGGTGAATGGGGCAAAAGCTTCCCAGCAAACAGCAGTTTTCGCAGATCAGGCCTTGTGAGCAGTGGAGTGATGAGATGTTTGGTGAGGGCGAGAGAGCAGATGATCTGGAAAGAGGGATTTGGCTGTTTTGGTCTTTGTCCAGATTTCACTTTTCCCCCCAAGACTCAGGTGACCTCCACCACCTGAAGCCCTCCTTCCCCTTCCACTAGGAGGTAGTTTGTCTTTCTACTTCACTCCAGGTAACCACTTCGTGTGGGAGCATTGTGGGGGTGGTGAGGAGGGTGGGAGAGGGGTCTTAAGGTGGACTGGGGAGGGGAGATGATTCAGTCAGCAAGCCTTGCTCAGTGTTTACTCTTTGCCATCTCTGAGATAGGAGCTGGGACTCTGGGGAGGGCAAATTAGCCTGAGTCCTTGTGGGTGAGGCTGACAGCCTAGTGGGGGACATGCACATTCAACACCTAATTCAATCCTAATTCATTCTTTGCAACTGGGAGAAATGCCATGCAGGAGAAGGACAAGGGAGCCCTAATATAGTCTGGGGGGTTAGGGGAGACCACCCTAACCAGTAGACATGCTAAGAAATGAAACCATGGGTGAATCTCATTTTTTTTTAAACATAATTTATTGTCATCCATTTTTTTTTTAAGATTTTATTTTTTTAGATAATCTCTACACCCATCATGGGGCTTGAATTTATAACCCCAAGACTAAGAGTCACATGGTCTACCTACTAAGCCAGCCAGGCGCCCCTGGGTGAATTCCTTCATAACCTCAGATTGGGGAAGGCTTTTCTACCTATGAATCCAAATCCAGAGCCATTAAAAGACTGATACATTGGCTTTGTAATATTAAATTTAGAAATGACAAAATTAAAGATTATATACAGTTCATATCACAGGAAAAGGCTAATGTCCCTCA